AATTTGTTTTTTCTTTATACAAATTTTCTTTTACTAATTTTTTCCTATTTATTTTCTTTATTCTCAAATTTAGTGTTGTACAGTATATTTTTTAAATTTTATTTTCAGTGGTTTTCCTAATGCTTTCCATATTTTGTTTATTTATATATGTATTTGTATGTATTGTTAACTGATACTGTCTGAGTCAATGTTGATATTGCTTGAAAGGTCAAAAATCATTTAAAGAATAGCCTGTATTTTGCGGAACCATTGAAGCGTAGCATTTCCTCATACTGTAATGATTATTATCGACCAATTCAATATCTCTGTGGAATTGCAAAATGTTCTCTTAATGTGCTTACACTAATGCCTAGTAGAATATTCAATATAGGTTTTTACTTCTAACCATGGAAAGGAGAACTCTTAAACAAAATAGGCTCTATCTGTGTTTTAGGGTGACATTAACAACAGCTTTCTGTTTCATTTGTATGAAGAATACTTCAAATTTTACTTATTGTTTATAATGATCTTACAAATATTTTCTCATTTTTTTTGCACTATTTTGTGTAATACAAGTAAAAATGTAATTATACAATGTTGGTTTTATTAAGAAATGATGTCCTAATTTGGTATTATTTGTTGGGATTTATTAAAATATTATAATTAATTTTATATGCTAGACAGTGTAGTAGATTTCCAATGAAATGTTCTTGCCTTTATGTGGTCATCACAAAAATTATACATATCTATCTAAAGTGTATGGTAATAAAAATGCATTAAAATCTAAGACCCACTTATGATTCAAAGCTTGAAATTCTAACCTGTTGTGTGTAGACCGGTCCTGAATATAGAGAGTGCATCGACTCATTTGGGTTTTTCCCACTTCATTATTATTCATGTTGTTGAATATATTAGACATTCTGATCACTAATCATAATGTTAGTGATTTTAACGTTTTTTTCATTGTATGTGAATTTTGAAAGTAACAGAAATGTAAATTGTTAAAATCTTAATCCTAATTTTTCTATTTATATTGGTTTTTTGGTAATTATTGCCAAAACAGCTTTCATAACATTTTACTGTGTGGTGAGGCACTTCTAATCATATATATAGTAATCTAGTAATTTTGTAGCGTAGGGTGGTCTTCGTGGGAACGTCATTGTACAAATTATTATGGGCCTTTATTCATGTTTATTTAATATTCAAATTAATATTCAAATGCAATTTATAGTATCGAAGATCACCAAAAAATAAAAAAATAAAAAAAAAGGAGAAAAAAGAAAAACCACAAAAAAAAAGAAAAATGAAAATCACAAAAAAAAAGAAAATACAAAATCCAAAAAAAGTAGAAAATAGAAAATGCTAAAAAAAATGGTTTATTATGCAGTTGTGAGTTAATTTGGTATTGTATGCTCGGATTTTCTGTTAATGGCCTTCCCATGTGCAGACTGCTTTTTTTACGATAGCAAAAATATAAATATAAAAAGCAATGAATTTGTGCTTCTCCACCAGTGGTGTAACAGCTATGAGCTCACACTGAATAAAGCCAGGCACCCTGGAACTTAAGGGGGGCTCGGTATATTAAATAATCAGCATTTTTTGCTGGACCATGGGCCCCAAAATGGGCAAGTGGTAAAGCAACATCAATTAACCTTTAAAACATGACCTGACAGTACCCCTGCTGGCACCTACATTTCAAAATTGATTTTGTTGTTTTTCGGTAGGGAGTCCCTGGGGGTCGCCCTCATTAAATAAAATTGAATTTTTAAAAAACAAAGGATAGAAGAGCTTATAGAAGAAGAAGAGCCTACTAGGGTCTCATTCCTCTTTGTTATGCCACAGTTCTCAACTTTCTATCTAAAATTAAACTATGTTACTCTTCTGTAGTTGACAGGCTGAGAAGTGGGTTATGCTGTTTATTTTATTATTATATTATTATTATTATTATTGGTATTATTATGACCTTAAAAAAAATGAAATATCAATATTTTTCAAGATTATTAACTCAACAAAATATATTAAATTTGTACATGAATCCTTTGAGTGTATGTTTACATTCACAGGAAGAAGCTGCCGCTGAGATTGAATCCAAACAAAAGAAGGAACTTGAACAGCTTAAGTTGTTGGATCTTAGCCAGTAAGTAGTGAAACAAACCATAGGTGACCATGCAGAAAACAATGCTTGGCATTTAAAATATGATTTTAATATCAGGTTCGGATCGGGGGTGGGGGGGCCGGGCGGGCACTAGGACCCCCCCCCCTTTTGGATGGTAAAAAAAGGGGGAAAAAAGAAAGAAAAAAAAAATTTGATTGCCCAAAACCCCTCAGAGGTTATTTTTGGGCGTCTAGAACACAACAATTTCGCGGGAACAGCCCCGGACCCCTTAAGCTAGTATTATCTCGATAGGCCCCACTTTCGGACCCCTTTTTGGACATGTCTGGATCCGCCCATTTTTTTTTTACAGTTAACACTTTTCTTAATGTTTATCTCAGTTCATGTAGCGAAGTGCAAATCATGTTTAACTTTAATTTCATTCTCAATTTTTTTATAAAAACTATTTTGATGGTTTGTAAACTGTAATATAATTAAGTATACTGTAGTACTAGGTTTTTCCTTTTTCCATGCTTATAGTGTATACTACCATATAACAGTGGCAGACTGTCAAGGTAAAACTTAAGAAATAAATAATAGTTGTACAGTTTCTCTGTTTTATTTAGCATTTCTTAGCCAGAATCTTCTATACAAACCTTGATTTTTCTAATAGATTTCTACAGTTCATTGGAATAGCAAATTTTTTCAATATTCGGCCTCTTTTAGTATCTAGGATAAGTCGCGCCCGGGCCTATCGCATCGTACGCTGCTCTGCTGCTTAGAATTTTTGCATGGCTGGTTTTCAGTTTCAGCCAATCGCGTATTCAGTGAGTCAATGGAAGTGGGAGCATACCCTATAATGCTTAAATATGCTATTGTGCCAACCATGTGGTGGCGTTTGAATAACCAATCTAAGAATAGGATGGAAGCGCTGCTTCCAAGAGTATATGTGCAACTCTTTTTTATCCATTTGCGTCCATTAATTCCATTAATATTTATATTAGTTAATAATATTGAATTTGGAGCTGGAGGGGCACACCATATCCGGTGATAGTAGTTTTTGTACTGCTTTTGCCTCTCCTCTGCCCTCCTCTTTCTTTTTTGATTTTGTTTTTTGTGGTTCTGGCTGAAAGGAATAAAATAAAATAAAATAAAAATGCTCTTCTCTGCATCTCTATACAGTAGCCTAATCAGGACCTCCACTGGCGATCAGGTAATTTGTATTGCCAGACATTCTATAAGCTCGATGATTAGGTTAAAATAAATTTGCATACATATGACCAGTATAGAAGAACCTTATATTATTTATAGTGAAATTTGTTAAACTTACAGGAATAGGAATTCTTTTGAATAGAAGAAATTACATCCATGCCAGTATAAAAAATGAACATACATTTGTATTTTAACTATAGAACGTTATTCTAAAAATCGAAGGAGAGTTGATGAGAGGGAGGGGTGAGAAAGTAAAGTGAGGGGTTTGATTATTAGGTGAGGGACAGTAACTCACAAAATAAGGTGATTTGAGGTGTTTTTTAACTACTTGAGCATGAAGTTTTTTTTTGGGGGGGGGGATAGATACGCCACAGCCTAGCATACCCTTCAGTTTACCCTACAGCCCGCCACTGCATGGTAGATATGGGTGTTTATTGCATAGACATATTCTGTCATGTATATAGGAAATATAGTATGCATTAAAATCATATGCAAATTTTGAATAGTGCATTTAACAAGGATTTTCATATCTTCAGGTATGCTATCAAAGGGCAAGAAAATGAGTGGACGTCAGCTTTGAAGTCAGGTTCCAAGAAGAATGTTGTCAGCATCAAAAGGTATGGTCATATTCATTTTTTACGTTTCATTTTATTATTCTTATATATTATTAAAATCAAATCTAATCATATTGCTGTGTTTGGGCAGGATACTACAGTAAATCAATTATGCTTTAATACTACTGAGAAGGGGAAGGTGGTAGCTGGTTTGAAATGTCTTTGAGGTCATACCAAGGATTGCAATAAGAAGTGATTCAACAGCCCTAGAATCTTGCAAACTTATTAGATAGAAGAATTTGGTGTGAACACAGAAGACTTATTTTTCAATGGGGTCGTTCTGGTGGTTATTATGCAGTACACTGGGAGACAATCCCCTATTTTTATCTGAAGAGTGTACTGTATTTTTTAACATGCACACAAGCCATATTGCACACAAGACCAACAGTGCAGCATCTTGTCCACAAGACAAACAGTGCCCTTTTTTATATTCTCATTTAAGCCCGCATGCTGAAAAACAAGGGAGAGCAGTGCGTGAAATGGACCTTTCCTGCATGTCAATCAAACTTAAGAACTGACCAATCAGAACAGTGCATACTGTATAGAAAACACACGTCTTGTCCCACAAACACATCTGCTTGCGTTATGTTTTACACAGTCGATTTGTGGGACCTTAGCAACAATATCCAAGGGGCGGGGCTTGGCTGAAAGGATCGCCATGGTTACCAACATTTTGGCCAACTGAACTAAGCTGCTCTCAAGATGAAATTAGGTTAAGTGAAATTTCTCAATAATTATGTTTCTCCTCTTAACAGTGCGGGAGATGGAGATCAAAAGAAGAGAGCAAAGAAGATGAGTATTCCAGATAGGAATCCTCATGATAAACCAAAGAAGATGAAACTGGCGAAGGCAGCAAAAGGGAGGTGAAAGAGTATTCTGAATATAAGTACAGATGCATTTGACATCTATTGCCAATCATTTCACCGGATGTGTGATGTCTGCAGTCACTCATAGTTGTGCAAGCTACTAGATTCTAAAGTAGTAAACCCAGTTTATGGTGGAAAGACCATATTGAGCCTGTACTATGGAATGCAATGACAGTTATATAGCATGTTGATGCTAAACTCTTCGGGAAAGAGATATTGAACTGTATTTTCTTAGAGATAGTTCCTGGCTCTTTGACCTTTAATAATGTTTTGTGAGTTACCTGAATAAACCAACAATATTGCTACCATTACAAAAACAGAGCCATCCACCTCAGTGCTCAATGAAAGTATACAAGGTCATCCTACACCATACAGCCGTCCTCATTCTCTTTCCGCTATGAGACAGTGAAAGTTATATCAATATTAACCTAAATTTTATATTTTGTATCATAAGCACTATTTTAAGTCAATCGTGATGTCATCACTGCAACTCCCAATGTTATTTGCCTATCCCCCACAGTCCACTAATTTTTCCATTAGTGGACGCTTGGCTTGATATTTTTAAGGTTCGTGTGCAGAAAATAATCTAATTATTTCGTCACCACGAAGACATCTCGCACCGCAATAAAAATTGGGTTGTAATTGAAAATTACTTTCGTAAAGTAAGCTTAATTAGGACCCAAAGAAAGTTACTTCAAATTTAATATTGTGTATGAACAATTAAGGAATTCATTGAATCAGTCAACACTCATAAACAAAACAACTGAACGCTTAATAGGAATATTCTAGACCTATTTTAAAGACTACTTTAGAAGTAGGCCTACGGCCAGGCAGGAGTCCGCCGAGGTCTCCTACTAGACCTTAGCCTAGTTATGAAATCATCGCACGATTTTTACATGTCTGCATGCACCGACCAAAAGTCAGTGACTGTATTCTCTCTCGAATGCAGAAATGTTAATTTTTCAAGCATTAAATCTAATCTTCGTATAATAATTTTCCCATAGTGTACTATGTCTACTAATTGCTTTTTAGAGAAGCATCTCAAGAATATAATATTCATTTGAAAAAAGCATAGTATCCTATTGAATATCGATTTGAAAATAACCTGGTTTTTCAGTAATCTACCAAGTTCATGATTTTAATAAATTTAAAAAATGTTTTTTAGAAAAGGTGATGTCATCAATTGATGTAGTATGCATCTGTGAAAAAACAACAGACATTTATTATGCTTGATTAACCAGTTACATAGCGAAGGTAGGTTGAGACAAAGGAAAGGTACAAATAAAGGCTCTACATGTTTTATTAACACTTTTCATCTTAGTTGTTTACTCCTTTATGTGCATTGATGGCTATTACAACCAAACTTTAATTTCAGATTTATAATAAGTGAATAAAAAAATCATAAAACAAGAAAACATACAATGTATTTTATTTCCTATTGTTGGAAACTCATTTATAGCTCATATACTTCAGTACTGATAGCTACGTTTACACTAGACACGATAACAACACGATAAAAATGCACTCAGTGTTGTGTAAATGTGGCTTATCACTGTTAAAGCTTTTCTTAAAATGTAGAGCATTGTGTTGGTGGTCGGATGACATTCCATGATGGTAAAACAAATCTGAATGATTTTACATTGGCCGGCTTTATAGTATACTAGCAGCGATTGTGTTTAGAAGAAAACAAATTGTTTACATAGTTTATAAACGTGTTTGGATTATCTGCAGATTTTATTCTCCTGAAGACGATTGAAGCAACTCAATCAAAACGTAAAGACATTTTCAACAAACAACAGTTTTTTCGGAACTATTTACGGGGTGTACCGCAAGCATTAATATATTAATATTTCACCATGCAAACAATATTTATAAACATAATCAATTAATTATTAGTTTGAATTTGAACCCATAGAGGGCGACCCTTTCAGTGGTGTTTATTTTTAAATAGTGAACAAAAAGCAGTTACAGTATTTGAATCCAGAACACTGTGGATTGAAAAGCAAGAATCCCTCAAGCCCCTCAATAAATCTCATTAAAGTGTAGTGGACTGTACTCTGAAAGTGCTAGTAAAATATAACAGCACTTTTTTGACCTGTCCAGACTCAAATTTATTTGACAAAAATATAGTCATGATGACATCACATAATGACAGTGGCGTATCTAGGGGGTGCGCGGGGGAGGTTTGCATGCACTCTCCAAATTACTTGTGCTTCCTCAGTTGCCCCCCCCCCCCAAAAAAAAATCACGGTCAAGTACTTAAAATCACCTTATTTTCCGAATTAGTACCCCTCAACTGATCATTGAGCCCCCTCCCCCACTTCACTTTCTTTTCCCCCTCATCAGCACCCCCATTTCAAGAGTTCTGGATACGCCACTGTATCATAACCATATATAGGCACATCATGACTATATATGGGCATACAAGAGTTTTTGTGTCAAAAAAATTGGATAGTCTGGATAGAGCTTATAACAGTCACAAAATATATTATGTAGGCTTAATGCGTAACACAGCATTCAAATGTAAGTGAAAGCGTTAAGTAACTACTCTACAATTTCATACCCTAACAGGAGCTGTTTCTTTGTTCAATCTGTCTAAAGATATGGAAAATTAGATATGGTGTGAACGTCCACTGCTTATGGACTTAACGGTGCATGTGTTGAACTACGTGAAAACTCCTCTTGTGTTGGGATAGCTATAGTAAACCTAGTGATCATTTATAGTGTTACTCATTAAGTTACTGTACCATTAGCTTACAGAGGTAAAATTAAAGGTTTATCTATTGTCCATAATACATAATATTATACAACAGAGCCAAAACGCCAGAACTTCAATAGCATTGTGTAGTAATGTTGATTCTAGTTTCACCAAGCCCATGAGTGGAGTTGAAATGAAGTCAGTGAAGTTTAGACCAGGCAACATAACGTTCTAATCTAGTTATTTTAGAAGAACGTACTGAAAGAAAGAGAAGAGAAGAACCATTCAGTAGTAACAATTCAAGTCGTATACCTATTTCGTATACCTCTTTGTTTTGTTCATAAAAGAAGTGCATTAATGTAAACTGGAAATATGTACATTAGAATAATAATACTTACACGTCGTCCGAAAAATTCTTTATGTGGGAAACGGCCACAATCACACGAATCTTGCCATTCTTTAAAAAGAAAAAGGAATTTAGACCTACTGAAGTTTTTATAAATGAAAGGTGTTCCTTCTAATTCAATTTCTATAGTTTTTAAATATTTATATTTACTCTGTGAATATTATCACTTTACTGCCATGATAACGAAATATATATAAGATGGCAAGTTTCGGATTCGTTTAAAGTAGGACGTGAACATTCCTAGATAGCAGTATTCAATCAAATTCAGTCTTGGGAAAAGGTAGATCAGGCCCAAACTGAACGAACTTATTCACTGTATTATTCTGTATTTGTGTGTATATATATATATATATATATATATATATATATATATATGTATGTATATGTATGTATATGTATGTGTATATGTATATATATATATGCATATGTATATATATATATTTATATACGATTATTCCAAGTTATTTACCTTCAATTTTTTATTTCATTTAAAAGATATTATTCTTAGATTCTTACCTTTTTAATTTGGCCTTCAAGAAATGTTTCTGCTTCTTTTAGTGAGATATCTATAAATGTTTTTCCATCAACCAACATAATCTGGTCGCCTTTATTAATTTGTCCTGTGAAAAAAAAAAACATTCGATGATGAATTGCGGTGGATTTTGTTGGAAACGGTAACAATGATAAGTCATCATAGTACCATACTAGAATACCACTCTCATAGGAACAAATTAATTTCATACCCGATTTATCAGCAGCCCCATCAGGTTGTACGTCAGACACCATTATTTTCCCCATCAATGGAGAATTTTTACCACCTTCAACTTCGAAATCCAATTGATTACATTTTAGTTCAATTTTTCGTAAATCTCGTCCATCTATCTGGCGATCGGTGAACTGTAATCGAAGGCCATTCATATAAATACATAAGGCACACACACATACATATATATATATATAGGCCTATATATAGATACAATAACATATAATACCAAATTAATAATAATAATAATAATAATAATAAATTTATTTATATATAGCGCAGAATGCTATAAACGTGAAAAAACCAAATTTATTAACTATTTATATTCACTCACAAAGTGTATGGTTTTACGTTTTTGTTTTTTTATTTGATTTAATATTCTGAAATTAACATTCTTCAGCTCAGAGCAGTATTATTACACTTCATAGGTATATACAGCAAATACAGCAATTGGGTCTATGGAGATGTAAGAAATGATTTATTTATAGAATCCGGCAGGTTATTACTACAGACAGTGATCACCGGAACCCCAACAACTTAACGCTATATAAAGACAAGATGAGAATTTTTTTGAACGTTTGTATCCACGATACATTTACTTTACCATATTTTCAGGTGGGTTGGTCCACCAATTTTCTCCTGTTACGGATGGAGCAGCCGGTTTCTTTGGTGTGTCATTACTGGTACGTTGTTTATGTTGACGATTGGTCACTGCTGTAACCTATAGTCCAAAATTAGATAGAAACTGATTTACTGATTTAAGCGTCTATATGTCTATATCAAAACAATTCGACAGGGGTCCAACTAAAATTACTCTTGGTCCCTGGTCAGGAGTATATTCCTGAAACTTCTGGCAAACAATATCATGAACTGCAATCAAAATAACTGTTTGGATCGGCAATTTTATGCCCGACTACCTTTCCATGGCTTACTTACCTCTTTGCTCACAAGTACCATCACAAGTGAAGTTCGGGACTTGATGGCTTTGATAGCATCCGCATGAGAAGCATTTGTAAGGTCCACGCCATTCGCTTCAAGTATTTGATTTCCGGGCTTCAAGACAAAAATGAGTGAAACAAATTCAACATTATACTGTATAGCTGCGTCTACCGGTAATCAATCCGTCAGCCTTCTCTGCCACTGACAATTAACTATTCTATAGTACATGGTGGGTCTGTATTGATCATTCTTACCTTTATTCCAGCCTTGTCTGCAAGAGAACCTGCAGAAACCCGGTGGACAAACACTCCATGATTTCCTGATTCATTTGTACTGATTCCACAACCAAGAGGATCGCCTTTTGACAGATCAATTTTAACGGTATTCTTGCCGGATCTCTTTTCACTCTGGACCGGACTTTCAAATGAATCTAATACGTCATCCTACATAGAAAGAAACAATATTGTTTCTATTTTTACTATTTGTACACTCAAATAAATAACTTGAAAATAGATATGACCTTTTGGCACATAATAATTATACCAAATTATTTGCATGATGAACATTTAATTTTAATCCAGATTTCAACCACAGCTTACCAGAAAAGAAGTGGCAGCAAAAGCTACATCAGTAACAAACTTCCATTTGATTGGATCGGTGGCTCCATTCTTTATCGGCGTCATTCCAACAGCTGTCAATTACAATGACATTAGAACATAAATCAAATAAATAAACATTATTTCTAGAAATAAAAAATCAAAAGTGGTAAAGTGTAAACTTACATCGAACCTTAATTACGAGATCTCGTCGAATGTTCATCAATGCTACTACTTCGCTCTGAATGGCTTGACTTAACTTGAAACCATTCACTCGCAGTATTTCGTCGCCAGCCTGTAGAGCAACGTAGAGGAATGTCGTCAACTTCATATGATTCAGATAAAGTATTTTGACAAACTTCGGTCCTATTCAAGTTTTTGCCTTTGATTTAATTTCATTGATAATATTTCAGGAAATGATATTGAAGTTCATTAAAAGGAAGGGCTATACTCCCTTTCCTGTCTGCTTGCAGTTTGGAAGCTAGTTAATGATCGACATGTTTATTTAACAAAAACATTACAGTAGAAACCCTTAAGGGAACACCTTCGGGAACTAAATCGTGTGTCCTCTTATTTCGTAGCCTGAAAGGTGTCCCTTTAATAGGTGGTGACCCAAAGGTTGAGGGGTTCAATATTGTATGAATAATCATACCTTGAGACCTTGCCTGTCTGCTTGAGATTTTGGAAAAACCTCCGAAATGTATACACCGACACCATATTCAGCACCCCCTCGAATACGAAAACCCAGTGGCTCTACATCCTTTCTGACAAGTCGAACCTTGCGAATTTCTTTGCTAAAACAAATTTCTACAGCTGTTAGCAATACATCGTAGTTATTGTCTTTTATTGTGGACTCGATAAGAAGATTGTGAAATGACAACTTAGCATTTAATGTTAGTTTATGGTAATAGTCATGGACTATTCGGTATTTTGACATGAATGATGTAGTTGTATTTTATTATGATATACATGAAGTATCATAATATAACACATATTCTTTGCCATTGGTGGTGAAGGATTAATGAATTTAAATTAGTCAGACGAACCTAATCTGTGGGGGACAGAGAACATCGTACTGTTGTTGCTGCGCTGGTGGCACGAATTGTCTGATTATCTGGAATACAGCTAAACGTTTTGGTGTACATAATATCACTTTCAATTTTGTTACCAAGTCGGTTAAATTTTTATTTCTGTAAGAATAAAAAAAGAAAATCAAGTGAATTGCTAAAGTAGCATGCGTTGTCGTTTCGCATTACAGAAGGTACCTAGTCATCATCGCCATCATCAGCATCATTATTAACATACTTCATTATCCTCCTCATCATCATTATCACCATCATCATCATCACCATCACCATTAACATCTTTCTCCATCATCTTCACCATCATCTCTATTATCATTGTCATCATCGTTCGTCATCGTCATCATTCATAATCATCACCAACATCATCATCTTGTTATCATCATCATCATCACCATCACCATCATCATCATCATCATCATCATCATCATTTATTATTACCTTTATTGTTGTTATTATTATTATTATCATTATTATTATTATCGTTATAATCATAACATCATCGTCAGCATTATTTTTGTTGTTATGCGCTGTATTAATTGTTTGAGGTTATAACACAATACGATTTTTCTCCTTTAGCACAGCTCATTCGGATGACTAAAGTTCAGGTAATAACGTGTTTATGCTTCGGTTATGAGTAAACAATTGATATATGCTGAGCAAACACTTATGCCAAGATATGATTGTATAAATCCCAGACAGAATAGCCGTCTTCCATGTGCCTATAAGCTACTCGTTACGGTTTCACTAGGAAAAGTAGGCCTACAGTACTTTAAGCCTATACCATTGGTCGGTATAAGCATACTAAAGAAATCATTTCATAATCAGATTACCTGTATGTATTTCATAGGAATTGAAATTAATTTCTCAGAGAAGATTTTTGTGACAACATTTAGGTATTAAATGGTCTGAAATTGTAACAAACCAGAAAATGTATACACACGGTGAAACTGAAAGATTGTGAGCAGCTGAGAAACATAAATAACGAAACAAAATAATTCCTTGAATATTACGGTCATACAATGGTTAACATTGGAAAATGCGTTCAAATAAATAGCTTTTCTCAGAAAGACACAATACCAAGGTACTTTATCTTGGAAAGATGAACGCTATATCTGAGGTATACCATTAATAATTATTAATTAAAAACATATTTTAGCAAATAAATTACGAGTACGTACGCCACAAGATGAGTGCTGTTTGTTGAACTAACCTAGACTTAGTCTATTTAAACATGATATCACATTATTCAATGTATACCGTATTGCAACAATAATATAATACGGTCTAGATGAATATAATGACATGTGGAACTTAAAGAAAACAGCCATCGAATTTTGTTTATCAGGAGTATGAAGTGCAGCCTAACGTGTGTTTTGTCTTTCGCAGCAGTACAATTTGACAGCAATACCTTCCTTTAAGACAAGCATTTTAATTTGTAAATAATATTGCACCAAAATAATGTCGTTAGCCTACCTGTGATAATCTCGCATTATTTGGTATAACTTGGCTTTCTCTTCACCATCACCTATCAGCATTTGAACCTAAAAATCAATAATTGTGTGCAAATAAAGGTTTTTGGAATAATGTATTAGCCTACATTTGACAATGTTGTGTTTTTAACATATTGTGGACTGATGGATAAGTCTATCGGATAATATTCAGGAGGACCAAACAGACAGAACTATTTTTTAAAAGAAAGACCGCATTTTTATCATCAAAGAATTCTTTCCAATTACACAAAAATGTAAATAAACTACAGCAGAATACAAACGAGTCGTAAAGTGCTCTCGAGGTGGAGAAAGTTTGTTGTGAGAAAAATCCTGGATTCGACAGGATAGTTCAAGCAGGGAGATCTCCCTGGTTCAAACAACAACATCTGGTTTGAACAATTTACTCATACTGATTAGAGAATAAGAAGCATTTGCCTGTCTACTAATGAACTTACTGTCGTGTGAAAGTCGTTTGCTCTGCGATCCATTTTGTACCTAAAATCAGTCTAAATATATTCGTTAAAGAACTAGCACACCATTAGCTGATGAAAGGTCGTTGCCGAATTTAATTATGTTTGTACTTTAACCGGCCATGACCGTCCTGTATCATCCCACGTGGGGGCGACCGACTAGTTGGAGTACACTAGACTCATGGCATGCAAGTTGCATGCCATAATTTACGATTTCCCCGCTTTTCAGCATCTGTGTTGCTAATCCTCCCACCCACAAATGTCCCGTTGCCTTATTTTCAGGTGGTGCCATGGAGGGGGGGCTGTCTCTTATACACATCTAGATGTGTATAAGAGACAGATCCCAGACAGCGTCCTTGTCCCATTAATAGGTGTGTCCCCTTAAGAGGGGTTGTCCATAGTGTTAAAAGATATGTTAAATTCTCTTACTGTTCATCATTTATATACAAACAAAATAATTTCTGTTTTTATGTACAACTGTGAGTAAAATCAGTTGCCATTAACTTTTAATCGTTTTTTCAAACATATGATTCCGTTCACACAGTGGCGGTGCAATCGGTGGGCAAGGAGGTTTAAACTCCCCCCACCCACCATCCAGAGCTTGTAGGTCAGTCAGTCCAAAAAAGAAAGAAAATAGGCTATGAAATGAAATGCTTGTTTATTTAGTGGAATTTGAGGGTATAATAACAATATTGTATTTTATTAACTTTACATTCAAAGTATTTTTCAAGTCTGAGATTGCCATTTCCGGCCATCCAGGGGTCCATATTAAAAAAAAATCTCATTAAGTGGGAACCCAAAGTTATCCTTATCTCACTCAACCCCTCCTCCCCTGACAGCTTAGCCAGTAATTTATTATTTTTATTATTCTTGATATGCTTTATTTAATATTAATGTGTGATTATTGTTGGCTCCTTTTGTTCATTGTCTTTCATTTATATGCTGTTTAACTACTGTAAATTATTTTATATATATTTAAAATTGGTAGTTTGTAATTTTAAGCATTTGTATAATTATTTCTAATGTATTTTGATTTGATTTGTCCATTTTAACTTTTGTAAAACGCATTGAACAGTTTGTTTTAATTGACAATACGCTATATACGTTATTATTAATATTATTATTATTATTATTATTATTTTAATTTGTATCTTTAATTTTCGAAAATAAATGAGTTTATTTTAATGTGACTTACCTTTTTTAGGACTGCCTCCCTTCGTGCAGTCACAACTATTTTAGCCCCAAGACGTGCAAAGTGATAGGCAATCTGCTCACCGATGCCGGTGCTCGCTCCTGTGATAACAACTCGTTTTCCCTTAACAGAATCTAAAATACAGAAGTTTTAGTGTGAAAAATAGACAATAAAAACATACCGTAAAGTTTGAACAGAAACCAGTAGGCCTACCCGTGGAGGGTGGAGGCTCTGTCTCTTATACCCAACTAGCTGTGTATAAAAGACAGGTTCCAGGCCAAACCAAGGA